TGGATGAATTTAGAACGGAGATCGGAAGTGCTTATTTGAGGATTCCGTTCGATGCTCACCGCCTAAGGTGTAATACCCAGATGGATCATTTGGGTACGACACGTAAGGTGTGGCCGACGGTGGTCGAGGTACTCCTAGGGCTTCCTCGTGATGCTGAGAGGCGGGTTTCGAACCGACCTAGAAATGAAATCTTCCAGACTGCTCACAAGCTCACTTTCTGCACGATTACCTTCGAATACCACTCGTGATAGGTTGTCTCGCCGATGCCCCCAGGTGTTTCGTCTCTACTCTCCGCTGATTGTGGACTGTTACCACCAGGTTTGGTAGAGGCAGTGGTCGCTTGCGAGTAGTGTCTCTGATGGGTAAGGAAAGCAGCGTTATCGAACCCTGCTGGGGTCTTCGCTATTCCGTTACCATAGAGGTATGGAGTAGGCTGTGGAACTGGATAAGAGTCCTGAAAGAATTTGGAAGTAGGAAAAAGTTTTTATAGTCTAATTATTGGTTAATTACTAGATTACTGGTTCGGCGTGTATTAACTGCACGATTCATTCAAAAAATTCATTCTTCTAAATTTAACATGTAATTTTTCTATAAAATGAGTTCTCTGAGGTTTTCATATTAGCGACTATTGATAGAACTTGGCGCACAATGCTCCTCTTACTTTTCCTTAAAAATTTTTGCCCTTCTTTTGGAGGTGAGCGATGGAGCACCGCAGAATTTTAGTGGGCTTGTGCATTGCAAGAATTTTTGAGAACCAAGCCTAATTTACAAGCTCATTTCACTAAGAACTCTTCTTCAAGCTGCACTCTAATCTAATGCCCATCATCTATACTCTCTCTCTCTCCAACTCTCCAAAAGCTTGACATTGTATGTGAAGGCTCGGCTTCCACAAGCCTGAGAAATAGTAAAAGAGAATTTTTTATTTTTCTCAAGGATTTCATGAGAAGTATGTTTCAAAACAAGTTATCATATTCGGTCTAAAGGTTTCAGCTATATTCTTGGATCAGAACCAAACAGTAACAATTATTTTGAACATTATTTAAATTTTAACACACCTTGACCGCGCTATCTGTAGCCTCTAAAAGAGTTGTAGGACAGCGTGTTAATTTTGTTGTTTTCCCTCCATTCAAATCACAACTTAGATTATATAGACTTGAAACTTTTCTAAAAGCTCACTCTTTTGAAAAAGTTTCAAGTCTTTTCGCTTTTGCTTCAACAAATCTGTTTGAATCGCAAATATACAATTTGGAAATAACACTCACTCCTTGTCATTTTCTAGACAATCACAAAAACCGTTGGCAATCTATATGGGAGGGATCAAGTTATTCTTTCCCGGTGATAATGGAAGCTAAGCAGTAAACAGACTTTTGGATGCCAAACGGACATGGG